AGACTGATCATTTCTTTGTCAGTGGGCAAACGTACAAAATCAGCAGGGGATCAAATACTTGTTTTCCCTCACTGTACATAGAACACACAATGATTTAATCGTTCCATCGGAGGGAAGCAAGATTTTGTGACAATGCTGCAGCTGCGTTGGCACTGGTGCACAAGCACAACGAACAACAACAACTCGACACACTCCTTCATACCTCATTGGGCCTGAAAGGACTATACTGTTATTATAATAGGAGACGTTCCGGGCATTGGTCCTTCTTCATAGCAGAGACAATAGGAGACCAGAGAGGTGGAGTGAATTGTATTTGGGTTTGTCTGCTACTTGTTATCGACTTATGGCTAACTGTTCGTATGCTAAAATAATAAGACCGCTTGTCTGGAAATATAAAAACAAATACAATTTCTATCCGCGCCCCGTAGTGTCAATCATCCCTCGTGCAGTCTGAACTATTATTCACTCAATCTCTCTGGCCTATCTACCTACTCACTGGCAGAGCCCCATGGCGTCTATGGTGAAGTCTCTCTCTATAAACTACCAGCACAACACGGTGTGATTAGTACAGTCTCAAAATAGCATTCACTTCATCTCTCTGTCCCTACTAACCACCAGGGCCCCAATGTATACATGGTGATAGGCATATCCATCTGTCTGTACACTACCCGGGCCCCATGCTGTCTATGGAGAAGTCTCTATCTCTGCCCACATTAGACTATTATTCACTAATTTCTCTCTCGCCTCCATCTGTGCGGCTAGCAATTAGTTCACTTGTAAATGGTCTAAACAATCACCACACCATCACCCTCCCATCAACCCCCGCACCAGAACACACCCCACCCCCTTCCCCTCCGCAGAGTGCGAAGTGGCTGTTGTCATCACCGCTGGAAACACGTGGATGCGCGCAGGGGCCATGTGCTGTGTTCGGATTTAGGTTGAGTTTACGGACGCACCATCAGGGCTACACAATGTGTTCTTCTTCCTCCCACGCCCTCAGTCGGCAGCTGCTCCCGCGAATTTCACGTGCGTGGGACATCTGATGTGGGTTTTTTTTTCCTGCGAACTAAACAATAAATTATTATTATTTTTCTAAACCAGGTAAAGCCCACTGAGCGAGCTCTTTGCCCTTTTTCAGAGACGACCTGGCCACACGTGACGGCTAGCTCATCGATAGTGGCTAAAGTCATCATCGTCACACGTGGGAATTTATAGCAGCAGACAAATAATCGAAACGCATGTTTCTAAGTGGAGTGGGGGTGGTGGGGGGCAAAATCGGAGGAACCCGGTGAGAACAATCCACGCCACCACCACCACCACGGGGCGAGAGTGAACTCGCGAACTCCAAATATACAACAGGCATCGCCAGGATCCGGGATCAAACCCACATGTCCCTGCGTAACCAGGCGAGGGAGATGACATGTCCTCGTCACCGCGGGGAGATGTTAATTAATTCTGTATTTAATTAAGCCAATAGTTCGATTTCGCTGCCTCCTATCAGAGACCCCATCTAAACTGTTGTTCGATCCCCGACCCCATCTAAACTGTTGTTCGATCCCCGACCACGGCTAACATAAGTGGCGAGGGATGCATGAACCGCTGCTGCATAGCTGGGCCACCCCATCTCACAAGCTCCCCACCGACGGATGGCGACGGACTTGGGGGGAGGAGGCCTTCCTCCAGCAGTGGATAGAACCTGCCTGTCTGGTGACGGCGACAGTCCACTGTGGTCTCACGATGCCACAACTCGACGCCACACATTTCACATCTCCCAAGCTGGATACGTCCGAGACGATGCTCAGCAGTAGATAGAGAATGACAGACATACATGCATGCGGCAGCAGGGACACGATTTGGGAATAATGTACAGTAATTGTGTACACAAGTCACAGCCATATTGTGCAATATGTAGTTTATGACACACTCATGTACACTGGGGTCATGTACTGGACTGGATACGCAGACCGAAATCCAGCAGAAAATAGAACATGCAGTCTCTGCATACATCCAGGGAGTGTGATGATGATGTGTTAGATTTAGTACTGTCAGTGAAATATCAGCGTATCCCTGCCTCCACCTGTGATTTTTTTAAATGTTTGAATTGTGATTACTGTTGGCGATTATAATTGACTGATGATTCAATGGTCACCATGTTATTATGATGATGAAATTAATGATCGATTCATTTATTTATCTAAATTGTATCATTCCTTTACCACGATTCCCCCATAGTGAAAGTTATGAATCGATGGCGATTCGCTGCCGGTAAATGTCACGACGACGGTGATGCTAAATAAGAGATTGAAGTTCGTGACCACGGATGATGATGATCTTGAAGATGAATTGGTGGGGTTAATTTTGTTTAGCCAGGTGGTGAGTCCAGGATGAGTCTCATTTGCAAGAGTGACCTGGGGCATTAGTCTGCCAGTAGGGGGCAATTATTTAAATGGATAGTATGGTCCCAATTGAGACAGCTGATTATACCATCGGTGACAATTTGTAACTGTTACTTCACACACCACCTTCATAATCACCATCACCCCTGCCACATGAATAGTACTGTAATTGTTACTAATTGTTATTCTTAATTGCTGATGTTGCATGCATAGGTCGTAAGGAAGGACGAATTACTGTAGCATGTGATTATTAATCATGCCGACTAAATTGCTGTTTATTACGACAGTACTATATGACAATTATTGATAATTGTTGATGATGACAATTACATTTAAATATATAACAAGTACCATGATGCTAACCTATCAACCATCATCACCATCAACACCATCACTGCCGCTTTACAGCAACCACCATCATCACAACCACCACCACCATCATCATTACCACCATAACCAACACTATCGCTACTATCACCAACTATTACTATCACCATCACCACAAGCACCACCATCATCACAACCACTACCACCACCACCATCATTACCACCACCATAACCAACACTATCGCTACTATCATCAACTATTACTATCACCACCACCATCATCATCACAACCACCACCACCACCATCATCATTACCACCACCACAACCAACACTATCGCTACTATCACCAACTATTACTATCACCATCATCACAACCACCACCATAACCAACACTATCACTACTATCACCAACTATTACTATCACCACCACCATCATCATCACACGCGCTACCATCATCACAACCACTACCACCACCATCATTACCACCACCATAACCAACACTATCACCAACTATTACTATCACCACCATCATCACAACCACAACCACCACCATTATTACCACCACCATAACCAACACTATCACTACTATCACCAACTATTACTATCACCACCACCACAAGCACCACCACCATCATTACCACCACCATAACCAACACTATCACTACTATCACCAACTATTACTATCACCACCACCATCACATCATCACCATCACTATTTCCATTACCACTATCACCACAATTACCCACTCCACCACGATAACCATTATCATCACAATCACCACCTCACTAACACCACCACCACCACAACTATCACCATAACTATAACCACCATCTATAACCATGATTCACAAGCGCCGAGTCACAATCCGTGGTGTTGGAGGGGTCAGCGCGCTGCGCTACGAACCTGTCCCCACCCGGGTTCGATTTCGACCCACGGCCAACGCCGGTGACGATTATCTGAACCGGTCATGGGCCTCCCCGAGGTCGACTCAGCCTCAAATGAGTACCTGGTGCGGTGTGTAAACATCGCTAGCACTGGGGAGACAAAGGCGGCCGGGCGTGCTGCTGGCCACCTTTTTCCTGGCCTACTCGCTAACAGCACTTGCCACGCCATTCAGGTGACGGCTATACGGGGGATCTTTGTCTTTGGTGGAGTGGATGGTGGTGGTGGAGCGAGTGGGTGGGTGGTGGTGGAGCGAGTGGGTGGGTGGTGGTGGAGCGAGTGGGTGGTGGTGGAGCGAGTGGGTGGTGTGGGTGGGTGGTGGTGGTGTAGGTGGTGTGGGTGGGTGGTGGTGGTGTGGGTGGTTGGTGGTGGTGTGGGTGGGTGGTGGTGGTGTGGGTGGGTGGTGGTGGAGCGAGTGGGTGGGTGGTGTGGGTGGGTGGTGGTGGTGTGGGTGGGTGGTGGTGTGAGTGGGTGGTGGTGGTGTGGGTGGGTGGTGGTGGAGCGAGTGGGTGGGTGGTGGTGGAGCGAGTGGGTGGTGGGTGGTGGAGCGAGTGGGTGGTGGGTGGTGGAGCGAGTGGGTGGTGGGTGGTGGTGGAGCGAGTGGTGTGGGTGGTGGTGGGTGGTGGTGTGGGTGGGTGGTGGTGGTGTGGGTGGGTGGTGGTGTGGGTGGGTGGTGGTGGTGTGGGTGGTGGTGTGGGTGGTGGTGATGTGGGTGGTGGTGGTGGTGGTGGTGGTGGTGGGGGGGGGGGTGGTGGGTGGGTTGGTGGGGTGGATGGTGGTGGTGTGAGTGGGTGGGTGGTGGTGGTGTGAGTGGGTGGGTGGGTGGTGGTGTGAGTGGGTGGGTGGGTGGTGGAGCGAGTGGGTGGTGTGGGTGGGTGGTGGTGGTGTGGGTGGGTGGTGGTGGTGTGGGTGGTGGTGGTGTGGGTGGTGGTGGTGTGGGTGGGTAGTGGTGGTGTGGGTGGGTGGTGGTGGTGTGGGTGGGTGGTGGTGGTGTGGGTGGGTGGTGGTGTGGGTGGGTGGTGGTGTGGGTGGGTGGTGGTGGTGTGGGTGGGTGGTGGTGTGGGTGGTGGTGGTGTGGGTGGGTGGTGGTGGTGTGGGTGGGTGGTGGTGGTGTGGGTGGTGGTGGTGTGGGTGGGTGGTGGTGGTGTGGGTGGGTGGTGGTGGTGTGGGTGGGTGGTGGTGGTGTGGGTGGGTGGTGGTGGTGAGGGTGGGTGGTGGTGGTGTGGGTGGGTGGTGGTGGTGGTGTGGGTGGGTGGTGGTGGTGTGGGTGGGTGGTGGTGGTGTGGGTGGGTGGTGGTGGGGTGGGTGATGGTGGTGTGGGTGGGTGGTGCCTGTTGCCGGCAGAGGGAGCAGCAGCAGCAGGAGGAGGCGGCGTGGTTGGTTGATGTCTGAGGCTTTTGCTGCTCTGGGCGAATTGTGGCTGCGTGCGAATCCATTTTCGCTCGGTTTGTCGTGCCGGCCCACACACACACAGACAGATACACACACAGACAGATATACACACATACATAGATATACACACACATACATAGATATACACACACATATATAGATATAAACACACACGTACACACGCGTCCCGTGTGGGGGTACCGAGTGAGTGACCCGGCGTGTCCTGCCGGCTCGCTCACCTCGCGACCGGCGAGGCGAAACCCCGCGGTCTCCCCTCCTGCTCCTCCTGCTTCTTCTTCGTCTCTCGACTTGTCACCCGGGCCGACACGACACAGCGGAGAGGCGGGGGCAACAACAGCAACAACAACAGCAACAACAACAACCCTCCCCCCGCGAAGATGAGCGTGCGAGCTACGACCATTGGAGACATAGGTAGGAGGAGTCCATGAAGGAGAGAGAGGGTTGCTGCTGTTGTTGCTGTTGTTGTTGTCGCTGTTGTTGTTGCTGCTGTTGTTGTTGCTGTTGTTGTCGCTGCTGGTGTCGCTGCTGTTGTTGTTGTTGCTGCTGTTGTTGCTGCTGCTGTTGTTGTTGTTGCTGTTGTTGCTGCTGCGGCTGTTGCTGCTGTTGTTTGTTGTTGCTGTTGTTGCTGCTGTTGTTGCTGCTGAAGGCTCTGCGTGGGCCTTGCTTGCCGCTGTTGATGGTTTGGGTTGATGGTTATTGTGATGGTGGTTGATGGTGCAGGTGATGTTGGTTGATGGTGGTGATGGTGGTTGATGGTGGTGGTGATGTTGTTGATGGTGGTGATGTTGGTTGATGGTGGTGGTGATGTTGGTTGATGGTGGTGGTGATGGTGGTTGATGGTGATTGTGATGTTGGTTGATGGTGGTGGTGATGGTGGTTGATGGTGGTGGTGATGGTGGTTGATGGTGGTGATGTTGGTTGATGGTGATGGTGGTTGATGGTGGTGGTGATGGTGGTTGATGGTGCAGGTGATGTTGGTTGATGGTGGTGGTGATGGTGGTTGATGGTGGTGATGGTGGTTGATGGTAGTGGTGATGGTGGTTGATGGTGATGGTGGTTGATGGTAGTGGTGATGTTTGTTGATGGTGGTTGATGGTGGTGGTGATGGTGGTTGATGGTGCAGGTGATGTTGGTTGATGGTGGTGGTGATGTTGGTTGATGGTGGTGGTGATGGTGGTTGATGGTGGTGGTGATGGTGGTGGTGATAGTGGTTGATGGTGGAGGTGGTGGTGGTGGTGGTGATGGTGGTTGATGGTGGTGGTGATGTTGATGGTGGTGGTGATGTTGGTTGATGGTGGTGGTGGTTGATGGTGGTGGTGATGTTGGTTGATGGTGGTGGTGATGTTGGTTGATGGTGGTTGATGGTGGTGGTGGTGATGGTGATGTTGGTTGATGGTGGTGGTGGTTGATGGTGGTGGTGATGTTGGTTGATGGTGGCGGTGGTTGATGGTGGTTGATGGTGGTGGTGATGTTGTTGATGGTAGTGGTGATGCTGGTTGATGGTGGTGGTGATGTTGGTTGATGGTGGTGGTGATGGTGGTGTGAGGAGCGGTGGTGATGTTGGTTGATGGTGGTGGTGATGTTGGTTGATGGTGGTGGTGGTTGATGGTGGTGGTGATGGTGGTTGATGGTGGTGGTGATGTTGGTTGATGGTGGTAGTGATGGTGGTTGATGGTGGTGGTGGTGATGTTGTTGATGGTGGTGGTGATGTTGGTTGATGGTGGTGGTGATGGTGGTGGTGATGTTGGTTGATGGTGGTTGATGGTGATGGTGGTTGATGGTGGTGATGTTGTTGATGGTGGTGGTGATGTTGGTTGATGGTGGTGGTGGTGGTGATGGTGGTGTGGGGAGCGGTGGTGCAGCGGTTAACCCGGCGGCCCGAGTTCGTGTCCCGCTCACGGCCAACACCGGTGACCGGGTCCTGTGTCCTCCCCCCTAGCTCCACTCGGCCTCAAATGAGTTGGCTGGTTGCGGTGTGTTAAACATCGCCACTTGGGGAGAGACAAAGGCGGCCGGGCGTGGTGCTGAGCACGCAGCCCCCTCGTGTGCCGTTCCGGCCTTCGTCGGTGCTCGCTAACAACACTTGCACCAAACAGCCTGTTACAGGCTACACGGGGGCGGATCTTTGTGTATTTGATGATGGTGGTGGTGGTGGTAATGTTGGACCGTAATCATCATCATCAGCAGCAGCGGTCCGCGCAGTGTGAATGTCATCACTTGAACGTCGCCGTGAGAATTCACAAAGGTCGTCACTGACACAATCGGCAGTAACATCATCAGTAACATCACCTTCAGTTTCACCATGGTCAGCCGTCAAATCGGCAACAATCTCACCATCACCGCTATCATCACGAGTCGCAAAACCATCAATCGCCAGCATGGACATCATCGTCACCCATTTAATTGTCACCAACAATCGAAATCATCGGAATTTTGCATTATAATTATTTTAAATCGGCAACAACATTCGTATAGTGCAGCATTAACATCACCAGCGTTTGGATTTCATCAACAATTATTACAAATTTGATCACTCACTTGGAAATCAATTTCACCAATATCACAACCAATCATTTCATAATCACCATCTCCAATCACCGTCATCACCAATGTTCACGATTGATTTCATAATTTATAATTTCACAAGTCGCCACACATCATCAGTGTCATCACCAAATATAACTGTAATCATCAGTCTCATAATCAAATATCAAAATTGTAATACAGTAATCATCATCATCATTATCTTTGTGTACCCTCTCCTTGCCACTGTAAGCCTGAGCACGTGGCTCCCGCTGTTGACGCGGGGAGCTCACCACAGTGGTGATGTAACAACCCCACCACCACACGCTCTGCAGTACACGTCGACTTGAGCCAGTATAAATACCCTACAGTGTTCAGCCTCAGTACCCCCCTCCAACCCCCCGCCTCGTGTGTGTGGCAGCCTCTGGCACAGAATGGCCAACTTTCACTGCACGTGTGATGGCACGTAACGGTCCATTAGTACACATGATGAGGTTTTTCATCCAGCAGTGGATTGACAGTGGCTGATGACCAGTACGTGTGATGCTAGGTACATCATGTCTATTAGTACGAGGCTTTCATCTAGCAGTGGATTTACCATGGCTGATGACCAGTACCTGTGATGCTAGGTACATCATGTATATTAGTACGAGGCTTTCATCCAGCAGTGGATTTACCATGGCTGATGACCAGTACCTGTGGTGCTAGGTACATCCTGTCTATAATTACATGTGATGAGCCTTTCATCCAGCAGTGGATTGACCCTGGCTGATGACCAGTATGTGTGATGCTAGGTACATCATGTCTATTAGTACGTGGCTTTCATCTAGCAGTGGATTTACCATGGCTGATGACTAGTACCTGTCATGCTAGGTACATCATGTCTATTAGTACGAGGCTTTCATCCAGCAGTGGATTGATCATGGCTGATGGCTAGTACGTGTGATGCTAGGTACGTCATGTATATTAATACACGTGACGAGGCCTTCATCCACCAGTGGATTGACCATGGCTGATGACCAATACACGTGTTGCTCGGTACATCGTGTCTATAATTAAATGTGATGAGCCTTTCATCCAGCAGTGGATTGATCATGGCTGATGATGATATGACGACCTCACAGGGCCTGCTCAAGGAGCAAGATGTACAACAGTTCGCTTCTCTTTCTGGGTCATCCCTTCCACTGCTCCTCTTTGAACTTCACCTCCCCATCGCCTCTTTTCCTTCCCCAGGTTCTCATAATAATAACCTCGTTCAATTCAATTTTAATTGTGCTGTTTGTCACTGGCCCCTTGTGACGTTTCTAGGCTTTTTGAGCCTGTGCTCAGCATCCGGGTTTTAATTTTAATATTACAACTGAAAATGTTGCCATTGGTAATACATCGTAATCGCGGTTCAGTTATAATTGTACAGAGATTCCAATGCAATCGTAATGCCAGCTAACGATGCTTACCGTCACTAATAATTATATTTGACAACCGCACGTGGTAAGGAGAGCCACGTGGATGGCGCAAGGAGGCGTCATCTTGCAAGTGGTGTCAATATGACCTCATCCACGCATGCCTCACCTCCCTCTTCCACCTTTCCTCCTCCCCCACGTCCCCCACCCAGTACCGCCAGGGGATTGGTGCTGCTGCTACTGCCGACGACGACGATGATGATGTCCCCGTTTTGTCACCGATGACGGTGGCCCAAAGCCGGCTCGGTGACGAAACGCCGAATTGGGGTGGGAAGTGGTGTAATCGGCTATTTGCGAGCCGGTGATGTCGCCGGGGCGACGCGAGGATGCTTCTCTGTCAGCGGTGGCTGCGTTTGGGAAACGATAAAACCCGAAAGCCGCGAGATCCCGGAAAGGGCGGATTAAGATTAACGGTGGAGCAGAGATCGATGCGCTGAGCCCTCGCGCCACCCTCCGGGAAGTCTTCATCGTTAAACTCGCGGTGCGCCGCTGTCTGTGGAGAGCACGGTGGGCACGAGTGGGGGACATCAGCAGAGCTCCGTTCTCCGTATCATCGTCATCAGCCATGGGTAAAATTAACCAAAAAATCGAGCAATTATAAAATCCCCGGTGTGTACAACTGCGGTCACGTAGAATAGAGACCGTGGAACATATAACACAGACTCACCGCCCCGATTCACAGATACGAAGGGGGAGACATAGTCACAGCCAGGATGCACCACCCTGCTACTGGCTCATTAACCACCTTCAAGTAAAATAATAGCTGTTGCTCTACATCAACATCAGCCATGGTCAATCAGCTGCTGGTTGAAGGCCTCTCCCCAAGCCACTGCCGGCTCCTCCCACAATCCGGCTCCCAAATAAATGAAATATTTTTTTGTTAGCACATTGACCTATTTGGCTTTCCAGACCAATATAATCCGGCAGTATTATCTTTTGACAATGGCCGCTGAACAATATTGCCACTCTGAAAAGCCTATGTATATAGGCCAATGAACAAAAAAATTCTACATTAAAATGTGGAGACAGAACAGAGTTTTGGGAAAGTCTCCAATGGTGCTCATATGGATAGGCTATCTGTGCTTGGCCATCGTAATGTGGAATGGACATGCTTTGGGTTATAAATGGAGATGAGCACCGCACCTCGTGCCCTTGTTGTGGTTTGGGACGGACGTTTCGGACACTTAACGATGTGAGAACTCGCTAGTTTAACATCATAACCAGAAGGAGCGATGGCCAATCTGCTCGTGTCTATTGCACGTTCTGCCCTGGTTCTACCCTCCCGCTGTGTGCGAGAGGAATGGCCGAGACGCCCATCGCTCAACTGTACCATTTGTCGCGTTGTGTCCAGCCCCCTCCAACTATCGCAAAACCGGTTGTATTGTATCAAATTTACTTGTATTTTAGAATTTAGAAGGGGGCGGGGGGGTGGTGGCTATGCCCCCTCCCGCCCTCCTGACACCGCTCCGCTGATTTGGGGACTGGCACGTCAACCAACCAACCAGTATTTTGCAATTCAGATATATTAATGATTTGTGCCCACCTCTCTTGGCGAGGTAGAGTTGGTGCAGCCCTGCGATTGCTCGCTCAGGCCACTGCTGGTGGAAGCTTTCTCTGTGGGCTTCTCCATCCTCCACGCTGGCTGGGCCGTCTTGGAAGAAGATAAAGGAGTCTTGTAAAATACCTCCGTGGTGTCGGTCGTATGTGGATGGGCTGACTCGGCAACACGCTTGGGCGGTGGTGGTGCAGTACGTTACGGCTATTGTCTGTCAAACCGTCAACTTAATCCATAAATAAGCCACATTTTCAGGATAGAATTTCCCGCAAAATTATACCTCACATACGGGGGGCGGTTGTCAGGAATTCTTGTGTGTAATATTAGGATTTTAAAATGTTGACTGAGGTTGCCTAATTTGCTTCATTGTCCTGGTTTAATAATAATAATTTCAACTGGTAACGCGCTGCTGCTACTTTTATACTGCTGGTGCTGCTACTGCTGCTACTGCTGCTGCTACTACTGCTACTGCTGCTACTGCTGCTGCTACTGCTGCTGCTACTGCTGCTACTGCTGCTGCTACTGCTGCTATTGCTGCTACTGGTACTGCTGCTGCTAGTGCTGCTACTGCTGCTGCTGCTACTACTGCTGCTGCTACTGCTGCTACTGCTGCTACTGCTGCTGCTACTGCTGCTACTGCTGCTGCTACTGCTGCTACTGTTGCTACTGCTGCTACTGCTGCTGCTGCTACTGCTGCTACTGCTGCTGCTACTGCTGCTGCTGCACGCTGTCCGCTTGCTCTCGTAGAGAGGACGACTCGAGAGGCACGACAATGAGCCACAGACGGCGGGTGGGAGGGCAGCGGCAGCAGCCAGGCGGTGACGCCGGCGTTTACCGATTGCCGCAGCTCTGCGCTTCCATATATATTAAGGTGTTTTCAGCCAATTCAGTGTTTACGTATGGGAGGAAACCATAGCATTTTGAGAAAACCCACGCATGTGAAGGGGCAACACTCTTATCCCATACAGATGGAACAGATGGGGTCAGCATTTTCCCGTACTGCCTTCTGCTGGATTAACACAGGCCATGTGCGTAGCCACCATGATTGCCAACCAGCAGAGTTTAGATGCCTGCTTGGCGTGAAGCAATGCATCAGTTCATCTGTACATATCGATTACATTCGTACGGAAGCTGTCAGCTTGTGGAGCGAAACGTCGGACACGGTGCCAAACAACAACAGGACGTGGCGTCGCAACCCGAAAACATCGCAGAGCCGTGCGGCGCAACCACAAAAACCTCCGCAGTGTTTTGGTAACGCGGCTCCTAGAATCAGGAAGTGTGACCACCCGAGTTGACGACGACGATGATGACGACGACGACGATTTGATGGTGTTGGTGATTACCGAGTGGGGTTATTGGGTGTGGCACATACCCCCCCACCACCACCCCACGGGAATATCCGCCGACTCGGCACGTTCTCCTTGAGTCGACGACGATGGCTCCGGTCGGAGGAGAGTGACGGCGTTGACTACGTCCGCCCGGCGGAGATCATCGCGCGACCGACTGTGACGAGACGAAATCAACGAAGTCTGAATGAAGACGATGTGCCCAAGATTATTTGGTTACATTATTAGGCACCGTGGTTCAGTCCAAAAATGATAAATCGGCTCTCGTCTTTATCCGCCGTGGCCAATCCGGACGAAACCCGTCCCCGTGCCGCTGCCGTCGCCGCCTGTCGCTATCCTGCGATGTAACCGCGGTCCAACCGGCATCAGTGCTCCAGCTGATGATTGGCTACATGTGTCTGTAGACGATAGGTGTTGAGTGCACCGATTGGCTGAGCTGGTAATACCGATTGCGATAACATTGGTGGACACCTCACGTGTGAAGGTCGCGTGTGATCTTGTGGCTCTTTCTTTGTGGCCCGTATAGGGTCTGGAGGTTTGGACACCCCCCCATGATGATGATGATGACGATAACCGGCCAGGAGGCTGAGCGGCAGAGTGAGCGGCTGGCAATCTGAAGACGTTGCGAGTTCACATCCTGGTTGGGGAGTTGTCTGAGCCCATCATCCCTCTGGGGTGATTAAAATTCTGCTTTTGTGCAGAAGTAAACGGCGGTTGTCCTGTGGAGAGACGTGTCCCCCACCGTACCAATTTGGAAGTTTCACCACTGGCCGAGCCAGGCCGTAAAACGGGAAATGGAGCACCGATGCCTCTGTGCTCTTGAGCAGCAGGAACTCACTTCGACGTTTACTTTGTTTTTGTACTTTACTCTGCACGTGCCGTTGCCTATCCACTGCTGAACTTCTGGTCCACGTGTACACCCCAGTATGTGACCCTCGTGCACGTGTACCAGCCTGTTGATGTCAAAATGATTCGCGATGGGGCGAGCGATGTCGGCCGTGGTGTGGCTCGTGACATCGCCACGGCCGCACATCACGCCGACGAGCAGCGGGCTCGAGAAATAACCCCCGATACGTTTATTCATTTCTCGTAACGACCGGACCGCCGTCGTTCTAACGAGCGGTGCGGCGGGCGCGGCGCCAGCAGGCTTCTGGGCCGACCGGTCGCCGCTGCACGAGGCGGCGTCGCTGGGCCGCGCACTGCAGGTGAAGCGGCTTATCGAGACGGGCGCCTGCGTGAACCTCGTCACCGTGGACTCGGTGACTCCGCTGCACGAGGCCTGCCAGAACGGCCACGCGCTCTGCACGCAGATGCTGCTCTCCGCCGGCGCGCAGGTACCTGGTGGGGGGAGGTGTGGGGGGTGGCACGTGGCACTTCCTCCCGCGATCGTTTGAACAACGACGACCTCTGACCCGGCGAGCTGAGACGATTAAATCAATGTTTTCTGTGGTCGCCCAGGTTCCCGAGCGTAGTGACCTCGTGACAGCCGTGACGATGGCGATGAAGATGACCTCTCACTTAACCCAGAACTCCGTCACTTCCTATTGTCCTCTGATTTCTACTTGGTTGTTTTGCTCCAATTTCGTGTTGCTCCATTGCTGGAATTTATTATGTCTTTTTGTGTTTTTAGGTGACCCAGTTCACCCTTGCCAATTAGAGGATGCTCGTCTCCTGAGTTATTGCCTGGTTACACAAAATAAACTCCACCCCCTCCGTTCCGACCTCCGTCTATCCCCTCCCACCCCTCCCTCTCCCCCTCCCCCCAGGTGGAGGCTCGTAACATTGACGGGAGCACCCCACTGTGCGAGGCGTGTGCCTCGGGGAGCCTGGAGTGCGTGCGGCTGCTGCTGCTGCACGGAGCGCGCGTCAACCTCTCCATCTTCACCGTATCGCCGCTCCACGAGGCCTGCCTCGGCGGTGCGCCACCACCGCCCCCCCCCCCCCCCCGTGTCACCCCCAACGCCACCAGTGCCCACCACCGCGTTGCCAGCGCCTTGCCATCAACACCACATATCTGTGTGTCTCCCTGCGTATTCCCGTGTGTCCGCGTTGTCCCCGCATCTCCCCGCGTGTCCCGGCATCTCCCCGCGTGTCCTCGCATCTCCTCGCATCTCCCCGTGTTCCCCCCGTTTCTCCCTGCGCATGCAGGCAGTGTGGAGTGTGTGCAGCTGCTGATCGCTGCGGGCGCGCACCTGGAGGCGCACGACTGCCACCTGGGCACCCCGCTGCATGTGGCCACCTACAAGCAGCACCAGACGTGCGTGCGGGCGTTGCTCGACGCCGGTGAGTGCTGCCGGCGGCGCCGCCACCATCACCGCGATCGCTCGCCGCACGCACTCGCCACCGTCTCTCACCACCATCACCACGATCACTGCGATTGCTCGCCACACGCGCTCACCACGATGGCTCACAACAATCGCAGCAGTCACCGCGATCTGCACCATGATCACCGCGGGCATTCACCGCACACACTCAACCATCGTCACTCGCCACGATCGCCGGGGTTCATTCGCCATAATATCACTGCGCTCGCCACGGTCACAAAAATCTCCATACTCCGGCGTTGGCTCGTGCCGCCCCCCCCCCCCCCCTCGGCACCCCCTCCCCCACACGCAGGAGCGAACGTGAACGCGGCGAAGCTGCACGAGACGGCGCTGCACCACGCGGCGCGCACGCACGATGTGGCGCTGCTCGAGCTGCTCGTGGAGTTCGGGGCGTGCGTCAACGCCCGTGACAACCGCGGCCGCCGGCCCAGCGACTACCTCCCCGCCGGGTCGCCGTGCTGGGCCCAGCTGGCGCGATACGAGAGTACGGGGCCACCGCCCCAGCCACCGCCCTCCCGTCGCCGCCGTCGCAGTCGCCGCCCCCCCCCATCGCTAATCGCCACTCTCCTCCCATCTTTGCCACCGTCAATTCTTGCAGCACCAGCCTTGCTGCCGAATCGGCGTAGCATCGTCGCTTATGTGTTTCTCATGTCAAGGCCACAGCGTTATTGACAAATGTGTTGCATTTTTTTTGTGTTCGTATGCCATTGTGTACGTGGTGCGGTGTGTAAACATCGCCACGGGAGAGACAAAGGCGGTCAGGCGTGGTGCTGGCCACACGCCGCCCTCGTGTGCTGTGCCGGCCTACATAGGTGCTCGCTAACAACACTTGTCCCAAAAGCCTGTTTAGGCTTCATGGGGTATCTTTGTATTTGTGCGTGTCCCGTGTGTGTGTGTGTACGTGCGTGTGTCCTGTGCGCTGTGCAGGACACCCCTCGTCGCTGCTGCAGCTGTGCCGCTTGGCTGTGCGTGGGTTCCTGGGTCCGCAGCGCCTGCACCAGCTGCCCCAGCTGCCGCTGCCTCGCCCGCTCAGGCAATTCCTCGCCTACTCCTAACCCACACGGGCCCACCACTCACCGCCACCTCACCACTCGCTATCACAGGACCTAGATCCACTCACCATTACCACCACCTCACCTACCTGCTAACTCACGTGGTTCGCCACTCACCACCACCCCCTCACCACCACCCCCTCACCACTCGCTCACCATGGGGGCACCCACTCACCGCCACCGTCTCCTCACTGGTTTGCTCACCGCGGATATCACAGATGCACTCACTCACCATCGCCTCACCAAGGAGCCCGCAGAAACACCAACACACCGCCGAATCGATCGTCCTTTCGCTCGCCACCGATTCCTCACCGTGCTCGCTTTACCGCGAGCTTACAGAACCACTCGCTCCCCAATGGCCACGCCGCCCTCGCTCGCCACGCAGCTCACAGAACCACAGAACATGCTCACGGTGAGCAAACGGTGGTCGCCTGCGCCGGTCAGCTGCGTCAAGCCGGGGGATGGTGCAACGTGGTGGGGGGTCGAAACGGTAGGGGGCACCGGAACTGTAGCGGTGGTGTCCGTAAGTCCTCGCAGCGATCCGTGGTCGCGATTCGATCTGAGAATCCAATCTCTTCTCTCTTTATTACAAAAGTAAAATAAATATATATACAGTAATATATCATGACAGGGATTGTTTAACGATGATCTTTATTGATTTATGCCGCGGAAACGACCAACGTTATTTGGAGACCGTACTGTGGTACGTTCATCGTCGCCATCATCATCATCGTCATCATCGTCGTCATCATCATCATCGTCGTCATCATCGTCATCATCGTCATCATCATCGTCGTCGTTGTAACGTTGCATTGCAAAGTTAGTTTTCGACTGGCTTGGGGACCCCAGGCGGGCGGATATGTGAATACGTGAACGGTCGGCTTTGTGGACGTCTGCAGAAAACGAGGGTTGGGCCGTGGTCTGTGCGCAAACGCTTGCACGTGGTGTGGGGGGGGGGGGGGGCGGTGGGCGGACACGCGGCGTCGTGCGGTGTTTACGAGTGAGAGAGCCGAGATATTTCACGGCTCGAGGTGACGGCCGAAGCTCCGCCGCTGACAGCGCGTCGGCCGATCCGTCCCAGCGCCGCCGATGGTGACATTGGTGGCGCGATAACGTGCCAAGACAAAAATGTCGTCGAAAGCCAACGTCGTGCCAACGTCGAGTGAATTTTGTTCATAGTTTACCCCTCCCCACCGCCCCCACCGCCCCCAGCGTGCGCTAAATGGACACTGGGTGACACTGAGCTCTGCTGCCAAGGTGGAGCAATTCCACATTCTTATGGTGGAGCCTTGTCAAACCATAGGAGCAATCGTTGTTTGTTTTTCTGCCAGCAGTGGTCATTGCTCTGTGTGTGCGATGTACGTGACCTCTGTGCTGTATATGTATGTATACACTACACACACCACACATACACAAAGATTACCCGCATAGCCTTCAAAAGGCTGTTGGGGCAAATACTGTTAGCAGGAATCTATTAAGGCCCTATCTAGGACACAAGGGCGTAGGTGGCCAACAACACGCCTGGCCGCCTTTGTCTCTCCAGTGCTAATGGTTTTACACACCACACAAGGGACGACTGTGCGAGGTCCTGGGACCGGTTCAGATATTCACCATTGTTATTGGTCGAACTCGGGCCACCCGGTTCGTAGCGCAGTGTGCTAAGCACTGCACCACCGCTCCCCACCTCACCACTAAAATACACACGCCCGCAAAAACACCTCAATGCTGGAAAAATGTTACCTGCACGTTCCTCAGTTGATATCACACAGCAGTACCAGCAGCAACATCGCCCCCTACTGTGAATCCTGAGAAGGAGCCTCCTGAAAGAGAATCGAGACTTTCGTGGGTAAACAGGTGGAATAACAAGAACAGTCATAACAAGTATTGAGCTCGCAGTGTTCGTTTCTCAAGAGTTTTTTCACCAACCCCATGAGGGCAGCATTTCAGGTTCAAAAAATCTTGGAAGAGATTTGGTCTGAAACTCCCGAGCAAGACCCTCTTGAAAGAGTGTCTTGAGACTCGGCCAGTTGGGATTCTGATTGTACGTGCGAGCAATCGATCCACGTGTTTAAAAAACAAAACAATATGGCGGTCGTTGATTAGTGTGGTTTATTTATATACAGGGTGGCTCGAGAGTCAGGGCACATGGAGTTATTCTATTTATTTCAGCAAATCACGTAGGGTTATTTCATTTATTGTAACAGATGCTCAAACTGACTCCCATTAACATGCGTGTACACGTGCATTCTCTTTTGAAATGAATTTAGGAGTTTTTTTAATAACATTGCAGGTGTCATCTTTGACCGTTCATCAATTGTTAATATCAATTTCCACTTCATTTTTAAACGCCATCCGAATAGGAAGAAAACAAACACAATTAATAATGATAACAGATAAAGTAATAACTTAAAGAATAAACAATACAAATGTTGTAATGCCAGTGTTCAAATAAATGAAATAAGCTCTGTGTCTTGACTTTTGGGCCACATCAGAGTACACTACAATACATATATAAACACCTCACCATCGTCATCATCGAGCGGTATAGTGAAGATTATCACGAACAAAATGAATAATTGGCCTAAATTTCCCATATTTTTAGTCTCGGCATGAAAAATAAAAGTATTATTTTACACATCCCATTGGCTGCGCGGCTTTCTGTGAGCGCGTCTTAGCAGCAGCGTTGATTCAATAAGAGCGAATATCTGCACCGGTTTTCAACATCCAGTGTCTCATTAGCAGCAGAATCAGTCGGACGTGCGCGCTTGAAGCAGTGCTGATGAACTGCCAGATGTTTATAGGCAAAAGGACCCACGCGGTTCGATATGGGTCACAGGTTGACACAAAACTAATGGAGTACACGGTATTCAATAACACATTCGGCTATAATCCTGTGGCTGTAAAATGAAAATAATATAATAGGCGACATTTCCGGCAATGGCCCTTCATAGCACATGTGCACCACTGCCAACGTACGGTCACCAAACTACTTTATAATTAGTATTATAATTTTATACCCGGAGTATCTTTCACGAGATTCAATCGACTGGTGATTGAATTTTGCGAAAGTGTTCAGCTGTGTATCTTGAGAGTGGCAGAAATTTTATGGACTTCTAGCGTTGTATATTGAAATTCCCAGAAAAACATGCAAATGTTGGTCCAACTTTGGACCAAAGTTGGCGTGTGGTCGGAACCGTTGGCCCATTGTTGGCCTAACGTTGGCATGTGATTGGGCCAACTTTGGCCCAACGGTTCCACGTTTACTGGGTTAGTGGAAGACACGTTCAGGGATTTGAAAAATAAAATGCGAATTTCTGTATCATTGTTTAAACCCAATTCCTAATTTTCTGCTTCTTTCTTAAAGCGCATTTATTGGGAGGGGGAAATAGCACAGATGTTACAGTCATCACGTCCTGGCCTTGATTAGCAATTAGGGTAATTTGTTTTTTTCGAGGTGGTATCACGTTGTATAAATTTAATAAGCTTGACAAACATTTTGCAATCAAATAAACAACACTTTACGCTTGTATGAATAATTATTACTCTTTCATAATTATTTTGTATTATTTACAGCCCTTTGTGGAATGAATTGGATATCGACCTCTGGATAGCAAACTCGAGCAGAATCAACTCCTGGATGAAGGTCTCACCAATGCCATGTGCCGGTTATGGGGAGAGGGGGAGTTGACCATACTTCACCACTCTGGTCCGCAGTGCGGCTTTGTGAAGAGGTGGAGGAGGGCCCCAGGATGGTTTTGATGATATCACTCGCCGCCACCGATTATAGCCGTGGCCAGAAATCTAACTCGGGTCGCCGGATTCATATCGCAGCGCGCTAACCGCTGCACCACCACTCCAACCCCACAGACAGCACATACTGTAGCAAAACAATTGGCGGCCCAATAAGTGGTGGTGGACGGTGACACCGTGCGAGCAGTTACGCATTCGGCCACTTTTGGCAAGGGTTCATGGTTCGAATCCACCGGCCGCCCTGATTAATACTGCGGCTGTATTTACCGGATTAATAATATTACGCGCCGTCTGCTTCATTCACAGTGGACATTTAAAATCCATACTCTTTGGTTCTTTCGGTAAAGTCACGTAGGTATAAAATAAAATAAATCACGACGTTTCGGGCGCAACACAAGCATGGTCTGCTGCATGGCCTGCTGCATCAGCAGCAGACCAGGCTTTCCCACCTGATGACGGACGCTTGTGTTGCGCCCGAAACGTCGTGACTTATCTTATTTTATACCCACGTGACTTTACCGAAATAACCAAAGAGTATGGATTCCTGCAGTCACGAAAGCTTCAAATCAAGATTTAAAATCCAGTGACCTAACTCACAAGAGTAGGCCATCGCGTGCCGGCGTCAACGGAACAATTTGTTAAAGTTTGAAAAAATTCTACCGCAAATTTCTCAATTGCGACTGCACACAGCAATTGTTGCCCTCAGCGAGGCCTTCCTTGGTAGAGAAGTGACGTAATGTGAGGCTATTCTTGGTAAAATATTTAAAGTCTTAACGTGATACTGTCCTCCGTGCGGCTCATGTTGCTGGAGAAGCAGCGGCTGTGATTCTACGTCGAGCTGGTTGATGAGCCGGGGCGATTGCTTCAGGACTAGAGGGAGCGGTGCATCGTCGCCATGACGGCGATGACGCCTCCTCCTTCGTGTTTGTGAATCGGGCATGGAGTTGTGTCACGTCCCATGGTCTCAGTTGTAGGTGGTGACCACAGTTGCCGCACACTGCTGGAGAGAGTTTGTAATTCTCCACTTGTACAGCAGCATCACGCGGCCGTCTGGAACGCTCTTCCTTCCGATATTAGGAAGCCACCGGAGTTATGCACTTTCAAATCTAGATTGAAAACTCATTTCTTAAGAACTACTTTTTGCGTATAGTTTGTAGGTCTTTCCCCCGCATCTCCGATGAGCACGGTTAGCTACGTACGGTGGGAAAGAAGTTCAACATACATACATGAGGTGTCCGCATCTGCTGCTGCCATGGCTTGTGAAGTGGATGATGTGGTTCAGGGGTCGTGGCCCCATGAGCGTCGCAGCAGAAGGTGGAAGCCCGGCGGGAGGCGGGATCCTCAGCATCCGAGCAGGAGGAGGCGTTTGTTGTTCGTGGACGTCTTGTGGTGAACGCCGTTCAGTTCGGGCATTGGTGGCAGAACCGTTGTAGTGCCTGACTCGTCGCGGCCGTTTGAGTAGTCGGCGTGTGTCCGGCTTCTGGGGCTCGCACCGGATTCTCGTGACTTGCGTCAAAGGAACGTCACGAAATGGTAAGGTCACGTCAACCACGCTCCATACCGGCGCAGTGACATTTGTCCCTGGGGTGGGGGGAGCGGCGTGACGATTGACCCGGAGCCCTCTCCCCCCCCCCCCTTTTGTTTTACCCTCACTGTGATTGGCTGCCAGTGACATTTTGGTTCACATTAACGTTTTACTTTCAACTTTAACGTTTTACTTTCAACTTTAACGTTTTACTTTCAACTTTAACGTTTTACTTTAAAGTGAGTCAAGGTCACATTTAACGCGCTTAGGATTTCGTGACCTCACACCCATTTATTTTCGCGTCAAATTGTCTGCCGCTTGAGAAAATCAAAAAAAAAAAAATCAATATTGTGTCGTATACCCATCCTCCACCCGACACAGGCCAATTGTCATGGGGGCAGGAACAAAAAGAGACGTGGCCCAATTACTGCTTGAGCAGCACCACCGGGGGGTGTTGGAGAGCAACCCACGGCATGTGGTTACATGTTGTGAGACTGCTCCCCGATAACACTACCGAGCTCAATTTTGATTTAAAGCTTTCGTGACTGCAGGGATTCATATTCTTGGTTCTTTCGGTAAAGTCACGTAGTCCATAATAAAGGTCTTTTTTGGAGCTAGATCGCGTAAATGTAAATGTGTCGTTAAATCCGCCACCACCCGACAGAGCCAATTCGTAAGGTTTGTCACATTCTTTGGGTCTTTCGGTAAAGTCACGTAGATAGGGTCCAAGAAAATAAGAAAACTAAAACCACGACGTTTCGATCGCAACACAAGTGGTCGTCTTTTGTTATTTCCTTTGAACCTATCTACGTGATTTAGTAATAGGTTTTACCCTTTTAACTGGCACAAAAACTGACACCTTTATTCAAGGCATCATGTTTGCAATAACCACAACACAAGCAGTCAAAATGCAAACAAAAGAGACAACTCTGATAATAATATGCACTGTCCTTGAATTTGATTGGTCCACACCCGAGACGGCTTTTCTTAGAGCCTAGTCTCCACTGGTGTTGGACCAGAAGACGCCAAAAGGCGTACTAGGCTCTAAGAAAAGCCGTCTCGGGTGTGGACCAATCAAATTCAAGGACAGTGCATATTATTATCAAAGTTGTCTCTTTTGTTTGCATTTTGACTGCTTGTGTTGTGGTTATTGCAAACATGATGCCTTGAATAAAGGTGTCAGTTTTTGTGCCAGTTAAAAGGGTAAAACCTATTACTATATCTTGTTACTAGCAAAGGAGGTCTCATAATCTATCTGCGTGACTTTACCGAAAGACCCAAAGAATTTGAATTCCTGCAGTCACGAAAGCTTGAAGTCAACATTTAAGGTTTGTCACGCAAACAGAACGTGCAAATTGATTGCCCGTTCAGCACACAGGTGTGTGTTGCTAATTGGCCGTGTCGGGTGGTGGTGGCGGATTTGACGACACGTTTATATTTACGCGATCTCACTCAAAAACAACCACTTTCTTACGGAAAATATTGGTCGCCAAAGCCTACGACTAAGTACTGCGTGTTGAACGGACTATCGTAGCTTAGCCGCTGGGCTACGCGCGGCTAAGTTTCAGTGACTTGGTGTTGAACCCCCAAAGTCTGACGACGGCGGCACGCACGGCCTGCAAATGTTCGCTTTGTGATCGTCGGCAAAGGTGCAATGTTTTTGCTGTCTCGGCTTCACGTTGACAACCGATTGACTTTGTTTGCCAAATAAACGCGACACCGGAAGAACGATAGCCTGCGGTGGAGCTTCTTGTGTACACCGGGCGACGGTGATGGAGCTGCTGCGTTGGCAGCGTTGCAACACCTCGGAAGGAACACTCTCAATTTTGACTTAAAGCTTTCATATTCTTTGGTTCTTTCGGTAAAGTCACGTAGTTAGAAAGAAAAATAATAATACAAAATAAAGTGAATAAAAATACAAAAAATTACAATAAAAACAAAAAAAACACGACGTTTCGATCCTCCTTTCCCTGATGCGATCGAAACGTCGTAGCTTTTAATTTGTATTAACTTTATTATTTTACTATCTACGTTACTTTACCGAGAGAACAAAAGAATACTCCCAATGGTCTTCGATGCAAGGCCCGCGGGCCAATGGCCTTCCCCTGGGTGGCCTGTCGTGAGAACCCCGCCCCATCATCACCACCATCATCATCCTCGTGCTGCCAGAAACACAACAATGGTTTTAAATGTGTAGCGGTGATGATGGCTTACCGGCGACAGCTGACCTCTGCAAATGGGTGAAGAACACCGGAATATAGTATATAGAGTATATATAGAGTATAGAATCACCGTTAGTTATTGACACTCCGAATAGTAAGACTCATCCTAAACGTGTGCCCGGTGTCGGTGCAGTCATTCAACAATGTATATGGTTACACGCATGGACACGCACAGCTACCTGGTTATAAGACGCACAACTCACATTTTTTTCTTTAAAATACTCTGCAGGTGGTAGAGGGGGGGAGTTGTGGTTGATATTCTGGACAGTGCGCTAGGAGGTAATGATTCAGTCTGGCTCTTACCTGCCCGCCCGATCACTCGCTCACCCAGCCACTCACTCACTCACCCACTTACCCACTCGCTCACTCACCTGCCCACTCACTCGCCCACTTACTCACCCGCCCACTCACTCAACCACTCACCCACCCACTCACCCACTCACTCACCCACTCACCCGCCCACTCACCCACCCACTCACTCGCCCACTTACTCACCCGCCCACTCACTCACCCACACACCCGCCCACTCACTCACCCACTCACCCGCCCACTCACTCACCCACTCACCCGCCCACTCACTCGCCCACTTACTCACCCGCCCACTCACTCACCCGCCCACTCACTCACTCACCCACTCACTCGCCCACTCACTCACCCGCCCACTCACTCACCCACTTACTCGCCCACCGAACATAGGCGGAGTCTAACTTCTATATTTGTAGGGCAGCAGGCGTTCGCTTTCCCCCCACATTAGGAATCGCGGGTGTATGCAATTTATTTATAATCTTAATTGTAATCTACTGAAAATAAATGTATAAAGAAGTCCAGCAGACTCCGCCCGTGCCGCCGACCCGCTCACTCACTCGCTCGCTCACCAACTCACCCACCAACTCACCCACCAACTCACCCACCAACTCACCCACCCACCACACAGAATGTCTCTGCTCCTTCACTCGCACTGTTCCACCCTGGAACTCCCTCCCATCATCACCGTTGTTTATTTTCTCCCAAGCCCTGATAGTAAATAACTTTGCTCAATTAAAGAAACGTGTCACGCCCTTACAACTTTTAAGTGCGGTTGTTGCTGGCCGCTTGGCGTTGTCTCACCTCTTTTTGGGGATGGCGGGGGGGCTCACTGATTAAACAATTCAATTCCAAATCGTGCCACAAGGCGGCACTAGTGCCACAAAACAAAGATTTCCCGTGTAGCCTTATCAAATTATTGGGGCAAGTGCTATTTGCGAGCACCTATGAAGACCGGCACGGCATACGAGGCGGCGGGTGGCCAGCACCACGCCCGGCCGCCTTTGTCTCCCCAGTGGCGATGCTTACCACACCGTGCCAGGTAAAATTATTTGAGGCCGTGTCGACCTCGGGTTGGCCCAGAACCGGTTCAAATTATCGTCACCGGTGTTTGCCATGATCGGGAATCGAACTCGGGTGGCGGGGTTCGTAGCGCTAACCGCTGCGCCACCGCTCCCCGTGAACACGAACTGTGAGTTCTGTGTGCACAATCTGGCGTGAGGTTTAAGGCCCCCGGGTTCCACTCTCTATCCCTATTGCCACCTGGTTCAGCACAAACTCGAACCTACTAAAGTTTTTTTTTTAAAAACCTCAAAACCGCTTTATCTACACAAAACCTTTGGCTTTATTAGACAGCGCAAATTATTACACATTATGTACACGTGAGTCAATGCGAGAGATTTGTTTTTTTTACATTAAATATCGAATATATAATCGTAAATCGACTAAAACGTTTTTGGGGGTCAATTTAAGGCCTCGGCAAAGTTGACTGCGACGCGTCCGTGGGGCACAGCCACCGAGCGAGATGGAGCCATGAAATTAAATTCTGCGGAGGCGCCGGGAAGATTTGTTGCGTCCCTGGATCGCGAGGGTTGTCGACAGCTCGGGGGGAAGGGAGGCCTTCGTCCAGCAGTGGAGCGATCACGGCAACGGCGTCACAGTGGCGAGATGTTAACTACCTCGCCAGGTATGCAGGAGGTTCGTGGGTTCAATCCCGACCCTGACGCATTTTCTCAAGGTTTCTCCGGGTTTTCCCTCCATATTTAGAAACATGAGTTTTGGAGCATTTGCCTGCTATACATTTCCACGCGATAAGCCACTTCGTGGGGCTGTCATTTGTGGCCAGGTCGCTTCTGATAAAGGGCTTTACCTGGTAAGATAAATATTGTTTTAGTTTAGTTTAACGGGTGAGGGTGAAGGCACGGGGCCCCGTTTCTCTTACCAGGTACCACAGGCTCGGCACGTCCCCAACCGGGCCTTTGAACCCTGCTGACCATGATGCATTCCCAGGCAAGAGATCCCGGCTAACGACTCTGCGAGCCTCACCCATTTGGGCCCCAATCAATCATCGTGACCGAAACGATAATCACGACGAATTATCATCAACAATGTTATCATTGTGCTTTTTTGCCAGGCGATAATTTGTCTTTCACTAGCAAGTGCCGTTATCTGTCATGGTCCGGTTACCGAGACGGGCATCGGAGTGGTCTCCATGACTACGGAGACCAGGGGGAAGAGAAGACCGAAGAGCAGATGGTGGGAGAGCGTCAGGGAGGATCTAGGGGTCTCTATGTGAGCCTATTGGTCTCGGTGCGAGTCTATGGGTCTCTATGGACGTTTGTGTGTATGTCTCTGTGCGAGTCTTTGGGACACTTTGTGAGTCTATCACTGGGATGTTATGGGTGTCTGTGTGAGACAATGGGTGTCTGTATGAGTCTATTGGTCTCTGTGTGAATCTATGGGCCTCCGTGTGAATCTATGGGTCTCTGCCGTGAGTCTATGGGTCTCTGTATGAATATATAGGGTTTTGTGCGAGTCTGGATTTCTGTTTGAATATATTTACGGCTAGGTGATGGAAGGCTGTCAGTGCACATCTTTGAGGCGTCTCTGTATCTTGTGTGTCAGCAGCTGAGGGAATCTGGTGGAGAGTCGAGAGTGCGTTGGCAGCAGGGAGGTGCCCTGCTTTGTGGCATCATCAGCTTGGGCCAAGATGACCTCTCAACCTTGGCTGGGTCTTAACACATTATTTTGTTGTATACACCACACATGTTAATTTTGTATCCACTGCTGGAATTAGATTCATATCCTACGTTATATGACCCTTGTGTGCATAGGCCTTGACCTTAAAGTAACAGTGTATCATTTACGTTGCAGATACGATTATTCTCAGCGCTTTAAGCTCAAGCGAGCGATGGGGTGGGAGCAAGGGTGGCCAGGAGATGACGGTGGAGTGACGGATTCTTGAATCCATCAGCACGGAGCGTTCAGTGGAATCGCCTCTCGTGCAGGTGCCCAGTTTTTTTTCCGGAGTCTCCGTTTTCCGCACGCGAAGACATCAATTCTCGTTGCTCATGGAAATTGGCCAAAACCTTCCTGAAGAAGTCTCGAGACTCGGTGAAGGCTTCCCTTGATAACGAATGCGCACGCAGCATTATTGATGTTATTATAATCATCATTACTTAGTCAGGCGGTGTAATCCAGCACTGTGGAGGCAGCGAGGGTTGATGGATCACACGAACGTTGCAAGACTCCCTTCCCCTGGGCGTCGATCGAGGTTTTCATGCCCTTGCTTTGTCAGAAAGCGGTACAGCGAAATGTGGACTCCACCTGTTCCATCTGATTGGGGTATAGTGTTTCCCCCTCGCACGTGCAGGTTTTCTCAGGGTGCCTCGGTTTCCACACATTTTTAAACACTCATATGTCGGCCGATAACACCTCGATATACAGAGGACCGGAGACCTTTGGCAATTGTTGATGGTGCCGGCTCCTCATTGCCTGGCTCCTACTGTCTTCCCGCTCGACCGTGGTTCCTCCTCGCATCTCCGAGTCGTTCTCTCTCTCTCTCCGAGAGCGAGTGAAGACCGCGGCGGCAGCACGTTACAAGTCGACATCATCATAACTCAAGATGTTCTTGCTGCGTGAACCGTAGGCCCATGCCAAATTGATAGCGCAACAAACAATATCCAGTGAAAACATTTAAAGTTGATTTTTTTTTCTTACCATTACACTGACCGACAACGCGCACGAAGGTATATTGCATGCATGTTGAACTTCTTTCGCACCATACATAGCCAACCGTGCTAATATTTTAAACCAGCATTCGGACTGATAATGTTTCTACGTTTTTGCAGAGCGAGCAATATTATCGTAAACACGGAACGAGTGCAGACATTGACGTTTAACAATCACTTCGAGCGAGCAGAATAGACCCATTCGTGGCAGCGATGAGTTTTCTAATAAAGCCGACCCTTACAACTCACGGGGTATGGGGGAGATCCGTATCCCTGTGTGCACCGCGTGGGGGTCTCGCGGTTTTCCCCGGCGACCGTGAGCACCGGACGCGGGATGCGGTAAAGCGCAGAGAGGCGGGCAAACGGACGAGAGGCTCACACAGCCAATCAGAGTCAAGCTCTGCCACGAACCCTAACCAAACAGCCACTCGAGCGAGAATTACCCCTAAGCAAACAGCCATTCAGCCGCCAGAGCTAGAATTACTCCTAACACTGCCAACTAGTGACTTGTTATGGAATTACTCCTAACCAAACATCCAACCAGCCACAAGTGCTAAAATTGTCGATAACCAAACAGCCAATCAGCCACGAGTGCTAGAATTACCCATAACCAAACAGCCAATCAGCCACTAGTGCTAGAATTACCTATAACCAAACAGCCAATCAGCCGTTAGTGCTAGAATTACTTATAACCAATCAGCTACGAGACCTAGAATTACCCATAACCGAACAGCCAATCAGCCACTAGAGCTACAATTACTCATAACCAAACAGCCAAGCAGCCACTAGTCCTAGAATTACCCATAACCAAACAGCCAATCAGGCACTAGACCTAGAATTACCCATAACAAAACAGCCAATCAGCCACTAGTGCTAGAATTAACCATAACCAAACAGCCAAGCAGCCACTAGTGAGAGTCCGAACTCCATTCTTAACCAACTTGACAACCGGCCACTGCTGACTCGAACCAACGAGCCATCCAACGGACGACGACGATGATGGCAACGACGAGAGTGATAACGCCGCGGCCTTGCGGAGTGACCTCGAGGCGGCCTCACGAGGTGGACTTCGTCGTCCGGCGAGGAGGGGGCAGCGGGCCACCCATCACATCCCCGCCGGTGTCACCTTCACCGTGATGCCGTGAGACGTCCTCCACTTCCCGTCCCCATCTCCTGCGGCGTCGACATCAACAACTCCGGGGTCCGCCCGTTCACCCCTCCCATCCCCGGATGCTCTGCCAATTCCACCGCCCTTCCCACCGCCGGTCCTCCCGGCTCCGACCTTCCCAGCTCCGGCACCGGGTCTCGCCGCGGGACAGACCTGGACGGAGGTCCTCGGGCACACAAGCATGGCTGACACGGGGCGCAGTCTGGAGATTACTTCTCCTCGTTTCCTCATCATCACTGGTGGCGCCTCGACCTTGAGTCCCTCCTGCTGCTGTTCCTGCTGCTGCTGCTGATGATATTGTTGATGTTGCTGAAGATCCTGTTGGTGCTCAGCGATGGACGCCCGAATGTGGCCAAGCCACTGCTGCTTGCTGAAGGAGTCGGAGGCCTGCAGGGTGTGGGACGGGCCGTGGGCCGGGTTCCGGAATCCCACCTTGAAGAAGTTCTTGGCTGTCACGTGAGGGGTGGTAGGAGTGGGGACAGGGAGAAAGTGGGAGAGGGTTGGGTGAGCGAGAGAAGGTTGGGTGAGGGTTGGGTGAGCGAGAGAAGGTTGGGTGAGGGTTGGGTGAGAGAGGGTTGGGTGGGGGTTGGGTGAGCGAGAGAAGGTTGGGTGAGGATTGGGTGAGCGAGAGAGGGTTGGGTGAGCGAGAGAAGGTTGGGTGAGGGTTGGGTGAGTGAGAGAGGGTTGGGTGAGGGTTGGGTGAGAGAGGGTTGGGTGAGGGTTGGGTGAGCGAGAGAAGGTTGGGTGAGGGTTGGGTGAGTGAGAGAGGGTTGGGTGAGGGTTGGGTGAGTGAGAGAGGGTTGGGTGAGGGTTGGGTGAAAGAGGGTTGAGTGAGGGTTGGGTGAGCGAGAGAGGGTTGGGTGAGGGTTGGGTGAGAGAGGGTTGGGTGAGGGTTGGGTGAGCGAGAGAGGGTTGGGTGTGGGTTGGGTGAGCGAGAGAGGGTTGGGTGAGGGTTGGGTGAGCGAGAGAGGGTTGGGTGAGGGTTGGGTGAGCGAGAGAAGGTTGGGTGAGGGTTGGGTGAAAGAGGGTTGAGTGAGGGTTGGGTGAGCGAGAGAGGGTTGGGTGAGGGTTGGGTGAGAGAGGGTTGGGTGAGGGTTGGGTGAGCGAGAGAAGGTTGGGTGAGGGTTGGGTGAGTGAGAGAGGGTTGGGTGAGGGTTGGGTGAGTGAGAGAGGGTTGGGTGAGGGTTGGGTGAAAGAGGGTTGAGTGAGGGTTGGGTGAGCGAGAGAGGGTTGGGTGAGAGAGGGTTGGGTGAGGGTTGGGTGAGCGAGAGAGGGTTGGGTGAGGGTTGGGTGAGCGAGAGAAGGTTGGGTGTGGGTTGGGTGAGCGAGAGAAGAGGTTAAGTGAGAGGATTCGACTAATGCGGCTTAGGTGAGAGAGAGAGGGGGGGGGGGTGTTAGGAGCGGGTTACATTGAGTGGACTAAGTGCGGTTGTTCACACACAAAGTGCTGTTAGCGAGCACCTATGAAAGCTGGCACAGTGCACAAGTGGGTGATGTGGCCAGCTCAACACCCGTCCGCCTTTGTCTCCCCGGTGCTGATGTTTACACCACTCCGGGTAATAATGTGAGGCTGAGTCGACACGAAGCAAGGAGGCCCAGGACCGGGTCAACCACCCGTCACGATTATTATCACCATCACACTCTCACCATCACACTCTCACCATCACACCTACACTCTCACAATCACACTCTCACACCTACACTCTCACCATCACACTCTCACCATCACACTCTGACCATCACACTCTCACCATCACACTCTCACCATCACACTCACCACCACACTCTCACCATCACACTCTCACCATCACACTCTCACACCTACACTCTCACCATCACACTCTCACCACCACACTCTCACCACCACACTCTCACCATCACACTCTCACCATCACTCTCACCATCATACTCTCATCACCACACTCTCACCACCATCACACTCTCACCATCACCTTCACCATCACACTCTCACCACCACACTCTCACCACCACACTCTCACCACCACACTCTCACCACCACACTCTCACCATCACACTCTCACCATCAAACTCTCACCATCACACTCTCACCATCACACTCACCACCACACTCTCACCATCACACTCTCACCATCACACTCTCACCATCACACCTACACTCTCACACCTACACTCTCACCATCAAACTCTCACCACCACACTCTCACCACCACACTCTCACCATCACACTCTCACCATCATACTCTCATCACCACACTCTCACCACCATCACACTCTCACCATCAACCTCACCATCACACTCTCACCACCACACTCTCACCACCACACTCTCACCATCACACTCTCACCATCACACTCTCACCACCACACTCTCACCATCACACTCTCACCATCATACTCTCATCACCACACTCTCACCACCATCACACTCTCACCATCACCCTCACCATCACACTCTCACCACCACACTCTCACCACCACACTCTCACCATCACACTCTCACCATCACACCCACAGGCTCACCATCACACTCTCACCATCACACTCTCACCACCACACTCTCACCACCACACTCTCACCATCACACTCTCACCACCACACCTACAGCTCCCCCCTCCCCTCGCCCCTCACCGGTCTCGCTGGCCCCGAAGGCCCCCCGGAATGAGCCCCCCGCCTTGACCTCGCCGTCGCGGAGGTCGTAGAGCTCGAGGTCGCACGCCGGGATGGGCCTGCCCGTGACGCGGTAGCGCGGGCCGCGGCCCCCCGTCGCGTGTGAGCCCGGGCGCGACACCACGAGCGCAGTGCCGAACACAAAGACGTGCACCTTCTGGGGGGGGCGGGGTGGCACGGAGGGGGGGGGGTGAGCGGATAAGTCAGTGCCGGATTATCCTGGTAGCAGAAGTAGCTGCACGCGTAGTAGCTGCACGCATAGTACGTGTAGTAGCTGCATGTGTAGTACGTGTAGTAGCTGCACGCGTAGTAGCTGCATGCGTATGTGTAGTAGCTACGTGTGTAGTAGCTGCGCGTGTAGTAGCTGCACGCGTAGTACGTGTAGTAGCTACACGTGTAGTAGCTACACGTGTAGTAGCTACACGTGTAGTAGCTACACGTGTAGTAGCTACACGTGTAGTAGCTACACGTGTAGTAGCTACACGTGTAGTAGCTACACGTGTAGTAGCTACACGTGTAGTAGCTACACGTGTAGTAGCTACACGTGTAGTAGCTACACGTGTAGTAGCTACACGTGTAGTAGCTACACGTGTAGTAGCTACACGTGTAGTAGCTACACGTGTAGTAGCTACACGGGTAGTAGCTACACGTGTAGTAGCTACACGTGTAGTAGCTACTGCGGGTCCCGCACTGTCAAGGGCCCCGCGCTAAATGCTTTCAAGCTAGCAATTCCGGTTCAGTGATTTTGCACTTGCTCTATTACTATAGTACTATACTGCCTTAGACTTGATTTGAAGCTTTCGTGACTGCAGGAATCCATACTCTTTGGTTCTTTCGGTAAAGTCACGTAGGTAGAAATAAAATAAAACAAATCACGACGTTTCGAACTTCCCACCTGATGAAGTTCGCTTGTGTTGCGATCGAAACGTCGTGATTTGTTAAATTTTATTTCTACCTACGTGACTTTACCGAAAGAACCAAAGAGTATGCCTTCAACTTTTATGAGCGACTGGGTGTTTAAGGTTAGCGATTTGTTGTATTAATCTGGCTGTATAGCAAATGAAAAATTAAATTACTTTACTGTGCAAGTAAAAAAAATGCGTGTTTTAATATTTATGTCTTTTTTTCATTTAGGGCCCCTTAATAACATCATGCTACAGGCCCGGCACTAGCTTAATCCGGCACTGGGATAAGTGTATGTATATTGACTTTCTTTCCACACCGTAAGCAGTTCTACAGAAATGAGTTTTCAATTGAGATCTAAAAGTGAATTAGTGTATGGGGGGAGGGGAGTGAGTGTATGGTGAGAGGGTGGTGAGTGTATGGGTGGGGTGGTAGTTTGAGTTGGTAAGTGAGTGGGTAAGTGAGTGGGTGAGTGAGTGGGTAAGTAAGTGAGTGGGGGAGTGAGTGGGTAAGTGAGTGGATGAGTGAGTGATTAAGTAAGTGAGTGGGTGAGTGAGTGGGTAAGTAAGTGAGTGGGTGAGTGAGTGGATAAGTGAGTGGGTAAGTAAGTGAGTGGGTGTGTGAGTGGCTAAGGGAGTGAGTGAGTGGGTGAGTGAGTGGATGACTGGGTGGGTGTGTGAATGCATGGGTGAGTAAGTGGGCGAGTGAATAGTCAATACGATGATGACTCCAACAATGACGCTGCCGGCCACGACAGCAATAAATATGACATCCACGACGATTACGACAACGATGAATATCACTGGGTGATTATCAATTCATGGACAATGTTCATGATTTGTGCTGTGGACGACGACAATAATAAAGCCAACGACAGGACTACAACAGTGACGGCCGATCGACGACAAACCCTGCAAATGATGCTGCTGCTGATGATGCTGCTGATTATGATGACGATGCTGCTGATTATGATGACGATGCTGCTGCTGATGATGACGATGCTGCTGATGATGATGATGACGATGCTGATGATGATGACGATGCTGCTGCTGATGATGATGCTGCTGCTGCTGATGATGACGATGATGATGCTGATGACGACGATGCTGCTGCTGTTGCTGATAACGATGCTGATGACGATGCTGCTGCTGTTGCTGATGACGATGCTGATGACGATGCTGCTGATGATGATGACGACGATCCTGCTGTTGCTGATGACGATGCTGATGATGCTGCTGCTGCTGATGATGATGATGATGACGATGCTGCTGTTGCTGATGACGATGCTGATGACGATGCTGCTGCTGATGATGATGATGACGACGATGCTGCTGCTGTTGCTGATGACGATGCTGCTGCTGCTGATGATGATGATGACGACGATGCTGCTGCTGTTACTGATGACGATGCTGATGACGATGCTGCTGCTGCTGCTGATGATGATGACGACGACGACGACGATGATGCTGCTGCTGGCGAAGGGGCGAGTGCTCACGGTTCCGCGCAGGTTGCGTAGCTCGCCCTGACAGCGCAAGCTGCGGGTGGCGCCGAGCGCTCCCGGCTGCCGCTGCTCCCCCTCCCCGAGCTCCAGGCGCTCCAGGAAGAAGCGGCACTCGGCCTCGCCGGCCAGCGCGTCCATCTCCTCCAGCAGCGCCTGCGACTCCTCCAGCTGCGGACAGAGCGTGGCCGTCACCCGCCGGTGGCGATGACGATGTTGGTGGTGATGATTCCACATGGCCAAGATCGCGGTGATTCCTCTGCACTCTGGAGAGTGAGTGACAGGCCAGTGGTGATGATGGTGGTGGTGATGATGATGATGGTGTTGGTGGTGGTTATGATGATGATGGTGGTGGTGCTGATGATGATCATGGTGGAGGAGGTTGTGGTCGGGATAATAGAGATATGTCTGCTGCTGCAGCTCCACATGATGATACTTGTGGAGTGAATCACTTGGGAGACACCAGCCATCACAGGCACAGGGGGTAACTATATACTTGGTCAGGACAGCCGGCACACTGCCTGACCGACAACTCCGAGGAGGTGAAGACGAGGACGAAGACGTCGCACGACGGGTTCCATTCCAGACGACAGCCCCGACCCAGAGTCGGGGCCTCCCTTTTATCCCCCCCCCCCCAGCGTGGCCTGGTTCCGCCCTCGGCCACGCCCCCTTCTGGAACCTACCGGAAGGTTCTGGGATTCACCTCACGTGTCCCCTCCGTCACCTATGCCCTAGATCCCTTTCTCCGGCCCTGCTAGCAGACCGGGCTGCTGCACCCTCAGATCCCCCCTCTCTGCCAGCAACCAGCGCTACGCGCCCTAGTGACCCATGCCATATCACTACACACGTGTGTGTGTGTGTGAGTGAGGGGTGAATTGTTGGGTGATGATTCTACACGATCGTACGCATGGTGAGGTCAGCTGGGATGATGATGATGATGAAGATGCCCATAGTGTTAGTGATGATGGTGGTGGTGCCGGTGGTGGCAAGAGTGATTTTGCTGCTGATGACGATGACGGTAAAGGTAACCCCCCCCCCCCTTGCTGTGGAGGAGTGATTATGGGTTGTTGTTGTTGATGACGACGACGGCGGCGACGATGATGATGATGATGACGGCGACGATGCCGACCGCTCACCGCTCGCTGCAGGGGCGGCGTGTCGGGGTGCGCGGACCCCGTGTGGCGCAGGACCTCGCGCAGCAGCAGGGGGTACTTGACGAGGCGCGACCGCGGCTCGTCCAGGAAGCTGCTGAGGTCGAGGCGGCGCGAGAAGGGCGACTCGCGGCAGCGCTGCAGGAAGTCGCTCACCCTCTCCTCGTCGCGGCGCCGCCACTCGAGCAGAGCGCGCGCCTCCGCCTGGCTCGAGCAGTAGCCGCGGTACGCGGGGCGCAGCCGGGGAACCTAGCCCGGCACGACGACGGGCCACAGGCGAGCGGGAAGGCAGCGGCAGCCGCGCGATGAGTTGGCACCGACGATTGTCCCAAGCTCTGCGATCCCTTATATATGAAGGTGCTATCGGGCAATTAATGAGTGCTTATACGTGGGAGGAAACCGGAGCACCCGGAGAAGACGCACGCACGCGAGGGGGAAACACTCGATCCCATGCAGACGGAACGGGTGGAGTCCGCATTTTTGCGATGCCGCCTTAACGCGGGAAGAAAGTTTCACAACGTTCCCGTGATCCACCAACCCTCGGCTCGACAGTGCTGGGTTACAGGCGTGGGGGTGCTGATGCTCACCCAGTTGAGCAGGATCTGTCCCATTCGCTCCACGGATCCGTCGGGGCCCCTCGCCTCCTGCAGCCGCTCTACGAGCTCTGTGCTCGGCGATAAACACACAAAAGACAAAGATTCCCCCCGTATAGCCTCAACAGACTGTTGGGGCAAGTGGTGTTGGCGAGCACGCACGCGCACAACTAAGACAAAGACGCGCGCACACGTACACACTCACTCACACGCGCGCGCACACATCAGAGGTGACTCACAATGGCCCTCCTGCATAGTACAAAACGTTGCCTGTTGTTTCTGTTTCCGATGAAGGCCACGGTGTTATTGATAACTGTGTTGACTTTTTGTTGTTACAGTGAGGGAAAAAAGTATTTGATCCTCTGCTGATTTTGGACGTTTGCCCACTGACGAAGAAATGATCAGTCTATAATTTTAATGGTAGGTTTATTTGAACAGTGAAAGACAGAACAACAACAAAAAAATCCAGAAAAACGCATGTCAAAAATGTTATAAATTGATTTACATTTTAATGAGGGAAATAAGTATTTGACCCCCTCTCAATGAGAAAGATTTCTTTTTAGGAGCACACTCTTAAAGGGAGTGCTCCGAATCTCAGCTTGTTACCTGTATAAAAGACACCTGTCCACAGAAGCAATCAATCAATCAGATTCCAAACTCTCCACCATGGCCAAGACCAAAGAGCTCTCCAAGGATGTCAGGGACAAGATTGTAGACCTACACAAGGCTGGAATGGGCTACAAGACCATTGCCAAGCAGCTTGGTGAGAAGGTGGCAACAGTTGGTGCGATTATTTGCAAATGGAAGAAACACAAAAGAACTGTCAATCTCGCTCGGCCTGGGGCTCCATGCAAGATCTCACCTCGTGGAGTTGCAATGATCATGAGAACGGTGAGGAATCAGCCCAGAACTACACGGGAGGATCTTGTCAATGATCTCAAGGCAGCTGGGACCATAGTCACCAAGAAAACAATTGGTAACACACTACGCTGTGAAGGACTGAAATCCTGCAGCGCCCGCAAGGTCCCCCTGCTCAAGAAAGCACATATATATGCCCGTCTGAAGTTTGCCAATGAACATCTGAATGATTCAGAGGACAACTGGGTGAAAGTGTTGTGGTCAGATGAGACCAAAATGGAGCTCTTTGCATCAACTCAACTCGCCGTGTTTGGAGGAATGCTGCCTATGACCCCAAGAACACCATCCCCACCGTCAAACATGGAGGTGGAAACATTATGCTTTGGGGGTGTTTTTCTGCTAAGGGGACAGGACAACTTCACTGCATCAAAGGGACGATGGACGGGGCCATGGACTGTACCGTCAAATCTTGGGTGAGAACCTCCTTCCCTCAGCCAGGGCATTGAAAATGGGTCGTGGATGGGTATTCCAGCATGACAATGACCCAAAACACACGGCCAAGGCAACAAAAGAGTGGCTCAAGAAGAAGCACATTAAGGTCCTGGAGTGGCCTAGCCAGTCTCCAGACCTTAATCCCATAGAAAATATGTAGAGGGAGCTGAAGGTTCGAGTTGCCAAACGTCAAATTCGAAACCTTAATGACTTGGAGAAGATCTGCAAAGAGGAGTGGGACAAAATCCCTCCTGAGATGTGTGCAAACCTGGTGGCCAACTACAAGAAACGTCTGACCTCTGTGATTGCCAACAAGGGTTTTGCCACCAAGTACTAAGTCATTTTTTGCAGAGGGGTCAAATACTTATTTCCCTCATTAAAATGCAAATCATTTATAAAATTTGAACATGCTTTTTTCTGGTTTTTGTTGTTGTTATTCTGTCTCTCATTGTTCAAATAAACTTACCATTAAAATCAGGGGCGGAGCCAGGGGGGGTGACAGGGGTGACATTCTGCGTATAAGTGTACGACACTCGGTCTGGCGGACTCCGTGCAACAGCATTGTCAGAGTGTGTCGCCAACCGATGGCGTCTAGTTCAACAGCCTGACTCTCTAATCATTCTTGAAATTAAAATTGATTGAATGTCACCCCGGCCTGAAATCCTGGCTCCGCCCCTGATTAAAATTATAGACTGATCATTTCTTTGTCAGTGGGCAAACGTACAAAATCAGCAGGGTATCAAATACTTTTTTCTCCTCACTGTATGTGTGCACCACTGCCACCGCAGGCAGCAGCAGCCTCGGCAGATTGTCGATCATTGACGTGATGCCACTTCCTGTTGGATTGCGGCAAAATGCGAAACAATTTTTGTCGTATTATCCCAATTTTTTTAAAATCTAAACCCAGATTTTGATCATTTATTTGTATTCACCTGAAAATCAGGAACGCATCCCCAGATGTAGATGATAAAGATCTGATGAGGATACTTCTGCTGCTGATGATGATGATGATTCCTGACAATGATGATGATCTCTCACCCTGATGGAGAGGCACCAGCGACTGCAGGCTGCCGAAAATCTTCTGTGACTCTTCCTCGCTCATGATGTTCAGCTTCCGCATGGGGTCCTGGTAAACCTGGGAGCGGGGGGGGGGGGGCAGGGGTCACAGGTGGAACAGGGGTCACAGGTGGAACAGGGGTCACCGGGGGCACGGCGAGTTAGCACGCGTACTGGCTAACGACGACAACAACAACTCGCATTTATCTTGCGCTCGTGATGTCATCGATGTCCTTGGGGACCCCCGTGATCCGTGGGTCAAACGAAATCGCTCGAGACGCCACCGGTGTATGGCAGCAAGAGCAATTTTATGCGAATGATTGTCGCAAGAGGTCACGCGTTTGGCGGAACGGTGCTTCGCTGGCTACGAGCGATGAATGAATGCACGACCCCCCCCAGTAGCAGCTCTCCCTGTGCGTCACAAGTTGAACACAGCGTGCGTGTAAGTCCGCGTGGAGGGGGCAATGTTGTAATTGTTTTTGTTATTAAATACTGGGGTGAGAGTGTGGGGGTGGGGGCTGTGATGAGGGGACGGGTGACGTGCTCGTGCAGGACCATGGTGACTCGTACCATCTTGGTGAGCTTCAGGTCTTCGACGAGGTCCTGTTCCCCTTGGAACAACTCGAAGATCGCCTTGGGAGAGGGGGAGGAGGAGATGGGTCCAACATTAGATGATGATGATGATGATCATCATAGTGTTACTGCAGCAGCTGATGATGATCATCGCAATTTGTATGGCTGATGACGATATTAAACCTCATGATGTTGCTGCTGCTGCTGATGATCTTGTTACGTATGATACTGCCGATGCTGATGATGCAATTGCTGATGATTGAAGCATTGCTGCTGGCAATGCTCACCAACATTTGCTGCTGATGATATTAATAGATATTTATTGATGATGATGCTGTTGCTGCTGGTACGTTTGATGGTGATGTTGATTATTGTACAGACAGCAGATGTTTAAAAAAATATTCAAAACATTTCGGAAATGACACCACAAATGACACAATTGTACAGCAGCCTCGTCGTTTGGTGATACTGTCTGACATCGTGACGACCTCACGATGTCAGATGTAATAAAGCGCAGGACCCCCCAAAGCACAGGGCCCAGGGCCGTCACCCCCGAGCCCCGGACCCTAGGGACCACTCTGGCTACTGCTGATGACGCTGCTGCTGCTGATGATCATAATGCTAATGATGCTGCTGCTGATGATGATGCTGTTGATGCTGCTGCTCATGATGATGATAATGCTGATGATGCTGATGATGACACTGATAATGATGATGCTGCTGATGATAATGCTGATGCTGCTGCTGCCTCTGCTGACGATGACGACGCTGGCGTCTCACCTCCTGCCTGCGGAGGTCCCGCGTGCTGAGCTCCCTCTTGGACTCCGAGGCGAACGTCTCGCTCCACAGGCGCGACGAGGCGCGGCACGGGCGGCGCGGGGGGGTGGGGGGCGAGGGGCGGAGAGTGGGGGGCGAGGGGCGCTGCAGCCCCCTAAAGCTGGCGGAGCGCTGCGGGCGGAGAGGGGGGAGGGGGGCATAGCGGTAACATTTCGGGACACGTGTTTAATGACAGTGGAGTCAACCTGTGGTGCGAGTGGACGAGTAGCCACGCACGGGAGGTAATGACAGGGCAGTCAGCCTGCAGTGCGAATGGACTAGTGGCCACGGGAGGTAATGACAGGAGAGCCAGCCTGCAGTACGAATGGACTGGTGGCCACGGGAGGTGATGACAGGGGAGTCAGCCTGCAGTACGAGTGGACTGGTGGCCACGGGAATGATCGAGAATAGGGGCGTGGCCAGGTGACGTAAGAGAGGAGTGGAGTCAGCCGGTAGAACGGGTGGTCTAGGGCCATCAAGAAGGTTCGGAAATAGGGGCGTGACCACGGGGCAGGGGCGTGGCCACGCACGGTATATAAGGGGAATGTGTGGGAGACTCGGGGCTGTTGCAGTGGGGTCTCCGCCTCTCCTAGGTGCCCCCACCCCCCAGCTCACCTGTGCCGGGTTTCCGAGTCGCTTGGTTGGGGACTTGAACCCCGAGAAGGGGGAAGAGCTCCCACGAGATGGAGCTCGCCCCGAGCTGCACGACGGCTCCTGCAGAGACGGGGCCAGCCGTGAACAGTGAGGGGCAGTGAGGAGCAGCCAGGGGCAGCGAGGGGCAGCCGTGAACAGTGAGGGGCAGTGAGGAGCAGCCAGGGGCAGCGAGGGGCAGCCGTGAACAGTGAGGGGCAGTTAGGGCCAGCCAGGGGCAGCGAGGGGCAGCCGGGGGCAGCGAGGGGCAGGTTAATGCTTCGCCAGAAACGCCTCCCAAATGGTAGCTCGTGACCTCAGGTACGTGATTTCCAATCGGACGCCCTACCCATGAACCATTATCCCCAACCCCTCACCCTAACTATAACCTTTACCCTTAACCATGACCAGGGATCGACAAACAAAATAAGAAGGGCATTTTTGTTAGAATTCTGTAAAATATATATATATTTCAAGAGCCGCAATGCAGTGTACATGACGTCACGAGGCAGTCCTAAAGAGCCTCGCGCAGCTCCGGAGCCGCGGGTGGCCGACCCCTGCCCATGCCCCCAACCCATGCCCCCAACCCATGCCCCCTACCCATGCCCCCTACCCATGCCCCCTACCCATGCCCCCTACCCATGCCCCCTGTGAATCGCGCCCACGAGACTCGCCAGGCGCCCCCCAGGCTACGCGCAGTTGAGCGCCCCCCCCTGCCCCCCCCCCGATTAAGAGGGAGTGAGTGAGTGGGGCGGGGGGGGGGAGATTTCTCAATGTGGGGTGAATTGTTTCCTTGTGAAATTATTTGGGTTTTAGAGATGCGTTGTGCCGCACAGTGCCGCAGCCACCGCCACAGCGGTGGGGCGCCGGGATGCATTGATCCGTGGATTTAACAAATATTGCCGCAATGCAATGTGCCAGCAACACTTTTTAATTTAACTTATTATTAAAACAAATAAATTATTTATTGGTTTCGATGGGCACCTTCGATTTAGTACAGTTGGCTACGTACGGTGCAAAAGAGGTTCACCAAGCATACTTTAGTTCTCGTTCGTGATTATTGAAGGGTTGTTTCTGTTACTCCATGGCTACTAACACTGTGACTACTGCATTTGTATGACTTCCCATGCCACCACCACCATCACCACCATCGTCAGCATTACCACGTCCTTCGTTTAAAACAAAAACAAAAAATCAGATCCGGCCATGAAAATGCGTAGGTGACGCAGCATACACGGGGCGAGTTCTTATCACGGCCAGCACACTTGGTGAGTGAGCGGTCAGCCCGCGTGTGATTGGGCATCGTGAGCACCGTATGCGCGTGTGTACAGACGCGTGCACGGCAGGCAAGGCTGCGATGGCTGGGTCATATAGCCCGCATGCCCAGCCACCGTATGCCCACGCAGCTTATGTTTGATCGGATAGAGAGGGCTAAACGGGCACGGCACACGCTGGAGAAGAGATGGAGCCAATGCGGTCCAGGAGGATGGGGGAGCTGGGTGGACTTTCCGAAGACCGGCACCAGTGGTGTTAAGATCGGATCGGCCTCTATGGAGGAGGCTCGTGAAGAACGCGAGTGGGCAGGTGGAGGCAGTCGCCCTCCAACAACAACGGAGAGCAGAGGAGCGATGCTCGCAAAAACGAGCGAAGCGCCTGGCAGTTCAAATGGAGAGAGTTGGCACAGTAGGGGGGCACAACTGGTGCATCTGCCAGTCATCTTAGTCAACCCATGGCACCTGAATCTGTCCCGTGGACATGTCAGCGAGCCTTCCACACTTGACGTGGCCTCAAAGTGCACCTGGCCTGACACAGGGGCCGTGGTGATGTCACCGCCACTTAGTGGCGAATAGCTGGCGTGATTGTTGTGTACGTGAAAGTCCGTGCATGTATGGGGTAAAGAAAAAGATCAACCATATAGACATTAACAGACTGTTGGGGCAAGTGCTGTTTGCAAGCACCTACGAATGCCTGCAACGGCACACGAATGGGTACGTGAACCTTATGGCGGGACCCATAAGCCTCGCATAAACATATTATATATATTATATAAAATGTAAACATTATATTATAATGTCAACAAAAACTTTGCTCTTTATCACCAATGGTTTTGAAGGATGGTGGCAAGTGTTGTCTTGTTAAACTATGCCTTTAAAACTGAAAACTACTTACCGGCAGTACCTCTATTTTAAAACACTATCGAAAAAATAATTGACACCCCTCTGTCAACCATCGTGTTTCTAAGTGTGGATTTGTGAACACACTTTGTAAACAGTACATACAATAGTGCGCGTTTTCAATGCGCTGTTTGTATTGTAACAATCGTTTATACCAATGTTACTCTACAGAGTAGTGGGTCGCCGCTCCTCTTATCTGCATTGCTACGAGCGGTATGTGTGGACGATGGCTTAACAAAAAAAAACACCTATCGGCACAGATGCATACGGACAAGAGAAGTATTATCAAACAGGAGGAATTAACGGTGCAACGCATCTCATCTGTTAAATATCTGCAGGGAATAGGATTGTCATCGATTGATCCTGGCTGCAGACATTGGTAGGTCACAAATAATAATGAAGATAAGAGAGCAGTGTCACTGTATCATGCAAACCGCTATGACAAATAAAGGACTTAAGTCGTGTAGGCAGTTTGAGCAGCTTTGGATAAGACTTGTTATGATCCTGCCCATACCCGAGCATGGAGCGCATTCGCTTGTTCAGCTCTTCTGCGCATTCGTCCTCGCTGCTGAGCTTGGACACGACAACAGAATGATCCGCGCCAGGTGGGTCGCGGCGTTCATGTGCGCGGTGGGACGGAGTCGCCCAAAACGAATTTATTGATTACGATTTTGATTTCCGTTTATTCGGGACCCCGGGGTTCATGTGGCCAGCACCACGCCCAGCAACCTTTGTCTGGGGAACAATTTCAGCGCACGGCCAACACCAGTAATTATTACTCTTTGGTTCTTTCGGTAAAGTCACGTAGGTATAAAATAAAATACATCACGACGTTTCGGGCGCGACATAAGCGTTCGTCATCAGGTGGGAAAGCATAATGACGGACGCTTCGTTCTTGCGCCCGATACGTCGTGATTTATTTCATTTTCTACCCACGTGACTTTACCGAAAGAACCAAAGAGCATGGATTCCTGCAGTCACGAAAGCTTCAAACCAGTAATTATTATTACGTGAACCGGTCCTGGGCATCCCCTAGGTCGACTCAACCTCAAATGAGTACCTGGTGTGGTGTTTAAACACATCGCGACTGGGGAGACAAAGGCGGCCGGACGTGGTGTTGACCACCCACCCCATTGTGTGCTGTGTCCTAACAGCCTGTTTAGGCGATACGGGTGATCTTTGCACTAAACATATAATAAAAATGTGTAACAATTAAAATAATTAAATACAGTTTAGCAATCTGATGAAAAAAAAACACTGCACATATATTTATGCTGCGTTGGCAGTGGTGCACACATTAAAAAAAACCTCAACAAGTTACAATAACTGAATGCGTGGCCTTAAAGGAAAAGCATATAACATGTGACGTTCTGGGAAATTACCCTTCATCGTATCAAATAATTCAGAGAAGCCAGAGATATAGAGTGGATCATAAGACATCATCAGACCTCCTTTGCCAGTACCAAAATATAATAATAGGGTTTTTCCCCTTTTTTCTGGCAACAAAACTGAAACCTTTTTTACAAGGAATTCATGTCTGCATTAACCACAATACCTGCAGTGAAAATGCAAACAATTTTAACTGTCAAGGCTCTCTGTTCCTCCCACACAGCTTAAAAGACGCTGTCAAGCTTGACAGGATTCACTCAAGCGCTGTCTTCTGGACAGTCCTGTTTCTTCACCTGAGGACGGCTACTTGTGTTGTGGTCGAAATGTCGTGAGAATTTTATTGTTTTTTTTATTCTCATTCTACGTGACTTTACCGAAAGAACCAAAGAAGAAGAAGAGGTTTCAGTTTTGTTGCCAGAAAAAAGGGGAAAAACCCTATTCTTATATTTTGGTACTGGCAAAGGAGGTCTAATGATGTAGATGCTCACCCCGAGCCCTCATTATTTTGATAGTGCATTGTCTTTGAGCTGTACGCCTTTTGGCGTCATCTGGTCGAGCACCAATTGGGTCGAGGCTCAAAAGAAAGCCGTCCCTTGGTGTGGACCAATCAGTTTCAAGGACAATGCATATATTATCATAGTATTTTTTTGTTTGCATTTTAACTGCAGGTATTGTGGTTAATGCAGACATGAATCCTTGTAAATTGGTTTCAGTTTTGTTGCAAGAAAAAAAGGGGAAACCCCCTATTCTTATTTCTTGGATCATAAGAGTTGATGTAACACGACTTAATACAATCTATTAGTAAAATACAGGACCATTTCAATAAAAGGGCAATTACATTTTTTTTATTGAAATGGTGGTAATTGGGCCCAGGACCATAGTGCTGAGCGGATTGTTGCCTTGTAGCTCCCGTGGTAAACAACTTTTCCCACAATGCAATGTGCCAGCAACATTTTATATTTTTACATTTAATATAAATGAGTTTATTTAGTACAGTAGTTTTTTTTTTATTTTGCAGAGGATTGTCTGTTACTCAATAACCACTACTAGCGTAACTTAATGTGCCATTTTGTTTTTAAACCTACTGGACGCCTGTGAAAAAGAGCTTTGTAGCTCATCGGATTCCTCCAGTCTAAATAAATATTCAGAAAACTGGTCATTGGGAATAAGAACATGTCCTGTAATTCTCATCATCTGGCCTCCGTGATGTAAACAAGCGGAGTTTCCAGTCCTTTCCATCCACTCTGTCTCTCTACTGGCCTCTGACCTATTATGAGAAAGGGACATTGCCTGTAAACGTCACCTTTTATATACTTCATTATTTTGATGCCATGCATGGTGGTGTTATTGACGGATGTGTTGAATTTAGTTTTTGTTGGTCAAATATTCTTATAAAGTTGCGGGTAAAACTGAATACGCACTGCAGTGTCGGAAAAATTGAAATTTAATCTTGATTTGAAGCTTTCGTAACTGCAGGAATCCATACTCTTTGGTTCTTTCGGTAGTCACGTAGGTATAAAA